GAAAGAGTTACTCCTTGCGGGAATCGGACCCACGCCCACGACACGTTGCATGGCAGCCGATTGCCCAACCACCATGTCAATATCATACAAATAGATATTTTTAGTATTACGATTTTTTTTTTCATTGTCTACAAAACGATTGCTCTACAAAACTATACATTCGCAACAAAAAACAAACAAAGCTACAATCAATCATAAAATATAAGATTTACACCTCATTAATGCAGAAAGAACTCGCATAGTAATTCAAATTAATAAGATTTAAAATTAAATGGAAAATTTATTAAAAGAAACAATACCATAGAGATCACTTTCTGATCCTAAGCTCATTTTTCGAGTAAAATGTTATAAGAGACATTTATGATTTTTTCCTATTTCTAAACATTTATATATATAACCGTGTAATATGTTTGTAAGAATAATATAGAATTTTGGTTCTTCCAGCATTTACAATAACGGCTGGCAAGTTCAAGTTTAATGTGCAAGTTAGTAAAAATATTATTAGTACCTACTGTTAATTTAAAATAACTTAGTTTGACCACAGATAGCAAATGTTAAACCTTCACCTATATTTATGTCCTAATAACCTAGAAAAAATCTTCATTTATGATTTTCATTCATAGACGTGTAGTTGCCGAACACTTCAACAAATTGCTTTGTTATAAACATGTGGTTCATGAGAAACCAGATGTTATGTGTTCGTTTCATGTTAAGAATTACTGTAAACTTTTCCACACAAAGCACATCAAACTGCTCCAAATGGTTAAATTTATTCAATAGTCTTTTGACTTTTAACACAAAATAATAGAGTTGATAATTCATTGATGAAACTTGATGGAATGGTGTACGTTGCGCTGCAGGCTTTTGTATAATACAGCTGGTTACCTTGCTATGGATAATTTGAAACAATAGGCTGTTGCGACTTCTAAAGGATATTTTTCTTTCATTCTATTGATATTTTTTTCATAGAAGTTCAGTTGCTATTTATAAATAACGTATTAAGTACTCTTAGAATAAACACGACCCGATTAGATTAATTTTTTCGGTCTCAGATCAGAATCAGGACTTTCGCTCTGTCTGCAAGAAGTTTGTATATGGATATCCATATACATTATGTCATATGACACAAACCATTGCGTTTTATTTGTGCGTCTTTTCACTTTATTTGAGGACACTGGTCTTTTGCAAAAAGTGTTAATGGTCAAATTTTGGATAATTCTAAGACATGTTTTCTATTTCATTAAAATAATTATGCTTATTTTTATGGGATGTGTCGGCAGACGGATTACCTGATGGTAAGCAATTGACAAGGGGTGGGTGAAGTAGAAGTATTGGACCTACGGTAACCTCGCTCACACGGCGAAACAAAACCGTTGTTTCACGCCGGTTTTCTGCAAGGCCAAGCTCTCCAGTCGAGCCGACCCGGTATTGTCGAATCTTTTCTCTACCACTCTTAATACGGCAATTTGATAAAGTTGCTTTAATTTGCTAAAACCAATTGGTTAAGCAAAACATTGACTGCACAGTTGGCGCGGTGGCTGGGCAACTGGCTGCCGCGCAACGTGTCGCGGGTTCGATTCCCGCACGGAACAACTCTTTGTGTGATCCACAGATTGTTGTTCCAGGTCTGGGTGTAATGTGCATGTGAAATTGTATGTTTGTAAATGCACCCACCACGCAGGAGAAAATCCTAATGTGGGGCAACATTTAAAAAAAAATATCTTTGTGGCAATTGGCTATTTAAAACGTGATTGTTAAAGACAAATTAACATGATTGTATAGATTCAGAATACAACATCAATGAGATATGAATTCATATTAAAATATTTGCACTGTAATGCCAGTACAAAATGCGGAGTCGAGCGCAGTATTCAATTTGCGAAATGCCTCAAAAATACCGCTGGGAACTGTCGCTACTGTAATACGCAAATAGTTTACATCATTTAAATGTTACTTGTATGTTGTGTATGTGTGTTTGTATTTCTACAATTATTGTTAAGCTTCTGTTGTGTTAACATTAAGAGTCACTTAATTTGACTTTTTTGTAGTTGCGAGTGTACATCAGGTCAAAACAACATGGGAAGGGTTGAGTCTCCGGTAACCTCACTCACATGGCGAAACACAACGCTGTGGTTGTTTCACGCCGGTTTTCTGTGAGGCCGTGGTATCACTCCGGTCGACCCGACCCATTCGTGTCGAAGCATGGCTCTTCCACACTGCAAAATTATTAGGTAGGTAGGTAGATATTTTTACCTTGGTGTCACAAATTTACTTAGTTAGCACACCACCACGACATTGAAAATATTAATAATACATTTATAAAACCTATTTTGTTGAAAATAACACAATACAAAAATAATTATAGGAATCTATTTAGACGTCCATGCGTGATACTATAATCAAGGGAAATGCGAATTAATTTTTATATACCTGTATACATTTTAGTTCGAAGGTTTTACTTACTAATAAATTACAATAGTAACTCTAGAATATGTTAAAACTTGTTCATCGGTCAATGAACTCATTATTCACGGTAAACAAGAAACCTCCAACCAAAACCCACTTCGTTTATTTCCAAAAATCCTTAAAGTATCGTACTTAAAGGATAGCATGTGAAAAGGCAGTCCACGCCGAAGACCACGACCGGCGGCTATGCAAATAATCTCCTTTGACAGTCAACCATGACAATTTGTAGCAATACAACAGACCCGATAAAGGAAGGCGTGTCTTATTCAAAATCGTTTCGTTGCTTTTGCAATGGGACTATCTTAATACATAACATGAACTGCAGTTTACTATGCAACCTGTCTTAAGATTCCGACAAATAAACATCCAGATAAAATAAAAGAAGTTTAATAAATAAAAGAAGATTATGTGTGGGAGTGCCATGCTTTGGCTCGGATGGGTCGGCTCGATCGGAGTGATACCACGGCCTCACAGAAAATCAACAAAATTTCAATTAGTTGAACACACATAAATTGCAATTTAAATTAAAGATAGTAACTAGTAATAAAAAAGCTGAAAACCAGTTGACAAGACTTAAGGAAATGTTGAAATAAGGAAGCCTACTTTCTTAAAACACTTAATCACTATGTACCACTTTGCAGCTTTACTAGACATATGGAATTTTAATGTTTTCAAACGGCGGTGTCGATTTATTAGTAATTGTGTTATATCTAGTTGAATCGATTAAAAAATAGCAATGCCATTAGGACTGCATAATTTTGACATAAGTTCTTGAATGTCACTGTCAATCTCTCAACTCGATTAGATTAATACCTTTTTTTTATGTAATATCTCGGATAACGAGCAGACGGATTACCTGATGGTAAGCAATCAGCGCCGCCCATGGACACTCGCAACGGAGGAGTTACGAGTGCGTTGCCGACCTTTTAGGGATTAGGGATTTGGAGATTTAGGGATTGAGGAGGGATTGGGGAAGGGGAAGGATTGGGCCTCCGGTAACCTCACTTACACGGCGAAACACAACGCAGTGGTTATTTCACGCCGGTTTTCTGTGAGGCCGTGGTATCACTCCGGTCGAGCCGACCCATTCGTGCCGAAGCATGGCTCTCCCACACTTAACCTGCACGACTTGGCTCATATCATCGACCAGATAAATACTATATAAATTTTAATAATATACCAATTAATTACGCAATAATTGTGTAATATTGAGCAATCAAAAAAATATTAATCAAATTAAAATATCTTTTTGTGTATCTGCATTGTAATTCTGGTAAGATAAAAAGACAATTACAATGATCAATTAAAATGATTATATTTATTGACGAACACTAGATATAGATAGTTTATATCAGAAAACGCTACTTTTTTTTATTTAATAGAAAGGCAAACGAGCTGTCGCATTACCTGACGTAAGCAATCGGCGCCGCCCATAGATACCTGCAGTACCAAAGGAGTTATAAGTGTGTTGCAGGCCTTTTGGGGATTAAAGGATAGGGGCTGATAGGGGAACGAAAAAGTTGGGCTTTCTGTAATCTGATTCACACGGTGAAACACTAAATATTGTGGTTGTTTGGCCGTATTATTTCGTTCAAGCTGACCAATTCGTGATGAAGTTAGAATTGCCCACACTTAAAATTTAAAGATCCAAGGTTCAATTAAGCTTAATTATGTTAACAGCCAGCTTGCTTAGCATTAAATTAACAACTTTTTCTTAATAAATAACTGATATTGTATTATAATAATTCTGGTAGCTGCTTAATTATGACAGAGATTCAATCTATCTTCAGGTTGCAGTCTCTTTGATGTAAATGAAAATAATAAAAAACTGTCTGTTGTCTGTTAATTTTTCTAGTTTGCTGTGTTTCCACAGAAAAACCCGAAACTCCTTTTTATAATACGTAAAGATAGCATAGATAGCAACTCCACACCAAATTAATAATAGCATTACTTTTATAAGCTTAAATTAATAAGAAACTGTAAAAAACTTGAAACAATTTATTCTTTTTAAATAAATAATTTGTGAGAGTTCTAAGTAATCTAACAGGAAATTATGCGCATGACGATAAAATAAACTGAAAAAATACAATATGCAACAAAATTACAATATTTGTAACCATTGTTTTTTAAACCTAGTTACTTGATTTTATTTCGAAATAATCAATAAAACTTTTGGAAAATAACAGTCTTCCAGAGGTAACAGGTTAATCCAAGGTCCCTGGTTAGGGTTCCAGAAAGAGAGCTTTCAGATAGTTGGTACGACCCGAAACTAGGAGTACTGTTTTACTGTCTTTATGAGATTCTTGTCATGACTCTTGGACTTGCTCGATCCTACATCGCAATTTCAGGTTTGTTCCCGGCAATCGTTGTATCACTTTTGGGAAAAACCATCGAATTACCTACTTGTCTCGCTATTGGCGGGACGAGGGGTCATTCTTACTGACTAAAATCCACATTGTTCCTGCTCCCGCTACAGGCCAGGGCCACAGTACACTCTTGAGCAACCCGCACCCCTGAATAATTTGCGGCCTGCGTTAGGGAGCAATCCTCCTCATCACGCCCCAGCCGCCGCAACAGACGACACTACGGGCGTCGGGGATCAAGGGACGATCTCTGGCAAGCGCGGGTCTGCGGACGGCGAGTAAGGGTAGCTCGCCGCCCGACCAGAAACAGACCCGAGCGTAGGGTTCCGCGCGCGCCTCATAGAGCCAATAGACCACCACAGACGGGACCTTATGCTTACCCCGCAACCCTGGCTGATGTTCAGCCAGGGTTGCGGGATAAGCACAATGAGGCACCGCGACCTCGGCCCAGAGCAGGAGAAGGAACAGGGGGGTTCCCTTCCGCCCAGCCCTGGGCGGGAGAAGTTATTTGATGATTTTCCCCTCACAAACAAAACCCTGAATAATTTATCATTGATGTAATATTATTATCGATACTAAGACAGTGAGATATATCCTTCTTCAAAAACTGATTCAGCCAGCCACTTATTGTTAGCCACTTCAGATTCAACAAGACTATTTCACATGAACTTGCTGACGAATAATCCTGAATACACGGTTGTCTCTACGCAAATATAATACTAAGTATTCTCCATCAGCATAATTATTGCTACTGTTATATTATTATACTTGGTAATTTTGCTATCGCTATATATTTCTCAGAAAGAGATATAAACTTCCTCTTTAGTCGGCCAAAAATATTTTTATAGATTTCCAGTTAACGTTTCTTGGGACCCACATGTGCAATTGTGCATATGTCACTGTTATAAAACGAACATTTTTAAGCTGTTTGTGAGTTTTTCATTGACGACACCCTTCACTGACTGAAGAGGGGAGGAGGGAGGTAAAGTTTGAGTTTCCGGTAACACACTAACATGGCAAATTACAACGCAAGTATCGTTTCACGTCTGTGTCCTGTAAGAGGTCGTGGTATCAATCCGGTTGAACTAGTTCATTGGTTCCAAAGCTTCTCGCACTTTCATCGCATTAAATATTTTACTTCTCCTTTTTTCTTTTGTTTTTTTATGGAATAAGTCGGCAAACGAACAGACGGATTACCTGATGGTAAGCAATCAGCGTCGCCCATGGAGACTTACAACACCAAAGGAGTAACGAGCCTTGTTGCCGGCCTTTTGTAGGATAGGGGAGGGGGAGGGATTGGGCCACCGGTAATCTCACTCACACAATCACAACTCAACGCTGTGGTTGTTTCACCGTGTTTCGCCGTGGTATCACTCCGGCCGAGCCGACCGATTCGTGCCGAAACTTGCATGGCTCTCCCGCGCTTAAATGTCATCTTCAGATAAATTTCGTATTATGTTAGTATACCGCATTTGAATAGCATAGTCCTTTGAAGATTAACAAGAAGCACGTTATGATTAAAACAGTTTAAAGCGTGTTTCACATTCCCTAAAAATCCCATGACACCATCCTCATTACAGACAAGTTAAAATTAATTAAATGCTCTATTAAATTTGCCTGCATCCGTTCATTAAAAAAAATAAACACAAACGCCTATGTAAATATTGTTTAAGTCGGTACTTACATAACGTTTTATAATGCTTCGGCACAAATAGAATCTAGAATAGAGCGACACCATTGCTTCATAGGTAACATCCCTTCCCATTCTCCCCATCCCTCATGCCCAATGCCTAATAATCCACAAAAGGTCGGCAATGCACTTGTAACTCTTTTATCGTTGCTAATCAGGTGGTTCCGCCAGTTCGTTTGCAGAATTTCCCCAAAAAAGGCTATAATTGTTCAGTTCGAACCAGTTATTCCGGAGATTAATATCTTCCAACAAGAAAGGTGCAGCGACACGATGAAACACAACGCTGTGGTTTCTTCACGCTAGTTTTGTGTGAAGCCGTGGTATCAATCCGGTCAAACGGATCCATTTAGGCCTTAGCTTGGCTCTCCCACACTTAAATAATTAAACTTTTAATGTATGTATACGTAAGTGGTGGTGGTAGCGGTGGCCCTGAGGTTAAGCTGACCGCTCTCATGCTTGGTTTTGAAACCTAGCAAGTACCGATGTGACTGTTCCGAGTTATTTTATCTTTGATTATTAAGACACCAATTGCATACGGTGAGGGAAAATATCATAAGGAATCCTGGAGTTATTTAAAATTATATGTTTTAAATCGCTAATCTGCGTTGATAAGCGCGGTGATTAATATTCAAACCTTCTCCGTATGAGAAGAGACATTTGTTCAGCAGTAAGCACTTATAGGCTCGGATTGTGATATGATGTACCTACGCGTCAAATTTACACATAGATTTATTATATTATATTATTGCTGACCATCGCCCAAACTTTCGCATCTCCAAAATTGCAGCAATACATTGTGAGAAGACCTGCATCTCACCATCTCACAGAGATCTTAAGTCGGTTAGCGATAAAGTTTGTCCAGTAAACTGGGACCGCAGCGTGGTTGTAGCGAGACGATGCAATTTAATTATTGCTTCAAAGGCAGTACGCCGATATGCTGACTATGGAAACCAAGTTCAGCATCTCTCCGACTCTCTTAGCCTCACAATAATGTTAGTTAGGCAATGGATGGTATGTGGTACTTCGTCGATGCTTTAGACTTTAGATAGAAACACAGTTTGTGGTACCTTTTTTAATGTTGTCTGACCTAGTTCTGTTTTTTTTTTTTTAATTTTGTTTCGATCGTCAACAATTTCTTAGGAACAGAAGAGAATATAATGGAATATTATAATTCATTTCTAATAAGCATAATTATATAGTAATGAAATATATCTACAGCAAGTAAAGGTATTGGATGTTATGTTATATTTTTGTTTTCATTGTGAAAGACAATTAATTTCTCTTGATAAAACCTAGCAGATTTGGAATAAAATAATCAAAATCTTAATATTATTTTGATAATGCTTCAAACTGAAGGACCAAAATTTGACTATTTACTTATTTGAACGTTACGATGGGCAAAAATAAAAGATCACTAACACGATAGACGAGTGATACCACGGCCTCACAGAATACCGGCGTGAAATAACCACAGCGTTGTGTTTCGCCGTGTGAGTAAGGTTACCGGAGGCCCAATCCCGCGCCTTCCCCTATTCCTTATATCCGTAACTCTTTTGGTATTGCGGGTGTCCATAGGCGGCGCTGATTGCTTGCTGCAAAAAAAACAAGACAACGAATGTCAATAATAAAAAGTAAAAATTAATAAAATATTTCGAAAGTTTTTTTTTATTTCTTATTTCAAATATTTATTTACGATGTTATACAACCTTATATTTGGAATATAAATAATAACATAATATTATGAATGTTAGGGTTGTCCCAAAAATTTAGTAGAAATTACAAAAATACAAGTTAATTTGCTAGTATTTTTTTATGAAACGATTTTAATGTCCGAAGACAGTTGAGAGGTTGGGAGGTTTTTTTGTGAGGAGAAAATCATCAAATGACTTCTCCCGCCCAAGGTCGGGCGCGAGGGAGCGTCAGACTCTTACTGACTAAAAACCCCCGTTCCTTTTCCTGCTCTGGGCCGAGGTACGGTGCTTCATTGCGCTTACCCCACAACCCCGGCTGAACCATCAGCCCTACAGGGCCCCGTCTGCGGTGGTCTTTTGAGAGGTTGAGAGGCTGGAGTAGTAAACGACAACTTTTAGTTTGATTACCCCAAAAATTTAAAAAATTAGTAATTATTTATTTAAAGTCTTCAAACAATTTATAACAACTGATTATTATCTCTGTAATTACATTGTCAGTTGAATGGTGGGAATTTTATAGTAAGTATATATTTATATCAACAAAATAATCACAGCTGTTGTTATCTTACATCCTCCAAGCAATAGGCAGAGTGATTATTAAAATTATGTTACTACTGACAACCCTACCGAGCTCAAACGCTTGCATAAACCTTGCAGCTCCACCATACTACTAGCGCCGCCTACGGCCGGACGGGGAGGCTTACGACAGCCATTTTTATGTGCGGAAACACTTGATTCAGTTTATTGCGGAACTACCCCAGTGTGCTACCGTCTTCGTGACGTCTCGTATTCATAGAAAAACTTTGACATTTACGAACAAACGACTTGAGTTCGTTTTTTGAACTTATTTCGGTAAAATAATATTAGTGTTGGAATAAGTATACCATGTGACAGATTTTGCCAAGCTACAATTGAAATTGAGGTTACTTGACGTCATTTCTGATCATTATGATACAGATATCATTTTAATATCACACATTAGTAAGTTATATAGGTACTACTAGAGTTGGGATGGGACTGGTAGGTACTTCAAATAAGGTATATAATGTTGTGAAGAATGGTGAGATTGCCAAGATAATTCGGTTCAAAATTTATTTTTAATGCAATAAAAAACAAACTGTGAATGTAGTGTACTAAACGCATTGGGACTTTTTGTTAAGAGGGCAAAATCATGACTATACTTCTCACATCCTGCGTGGGGCGAGAGGGAGTGTCCCAGTCTTACAGCCTAAAAGCCACGTTCCTTCTCCTGCTTCAGGCCGGGATTGTGGTATGTTATTGGGCTTGATTTGCTGCCATGGCTAAATGACCCAATCTGTTGTGCACTGTTGGTTATACCACTCGATATCGACAGTTTTTTATTTTCGCGCGAATTATTTTGAATCTACGCCGACGCCGCTCGGGAGGTCGGTGCGTAGCACCCAATGTTCCATAGGAGCGGCCCCAGGACCGGTCTCTGTGGAAAAACACGCAATGCGCCCGCGAGGTAGATGACGCATCTGCCCGTCAAGTAAGCCTTGACTACTCGACAGGCACCCGGTGTGCCTCCAGAATGCAACTCCAAGGCAACGAGTTGAAGGCGTTGGCGATGTCACTGCCACGTCGACCTGCCTCCTGGCCAACGCAGTCCCCGTCGTGAAGTCCCTCACGCGCATGATAGCGTCTTCCGTGGAGTGCCCTCTGCGGAAGCCGAACTGGCCGTCCGTTAGATCCGGCCCCCTTCCCTACAGGTGTTCGACGAGGCGGTCTGAGAAATCATCAGTATAGAGCCAAGTACAAAAAAGGTCTCGAAATAAAATCCAAAAATAGATAGTAAAATGTTTATTAAAAATATTTATAACAATGTTCATAAAAATAATTAATTCAATCTGCTTTTACCACTCTCTAGCGAACTAGCGTAGGTACAAACAATTTACTTGCATTGCAATCTTGTGCTTCTTGCTAATAACAAATAATATCAAAGCATTAACGACATTATTTCTTTGAAATAAAGTTCATAATACTTAAAATTTGTGCTAGGCTAACAGTTTCAAAGCAGATATTTATAGAGATGTGCAGAACACATTATATGTATAAAATGTAAAATTAATCTCATAATGTTTCGTCTTGTAGACGATAAAAAAATGCTAATAACTTTAAGAAAATAAAAGCTAATAAGAAACAATATTTTTTTATAACGACGACCCTATAGTACCTTGAACATATGTTTATCAATAATATAAAATTAAATGTATTTACTTTAATCAGAGTTGATAAAGCTAACAACAGTTGGATAACGAACTCTTGAATAACGTTTCCTTGATATATTTATCGCGCTTATTGATAAATCTCAGGGTGTGTGCCTCGTATTAATAGAAAAATCGGTTCCAACATACGAATTACGTATACGTTGAAGTATCAACAATTTGTTGTGGGCGTTGAAAAACGTACGCTCTTCTATAAGTAGCTTACATCGACAATTTAGAAGACGTTACGCTTTTCATACTGAAATTATTAAAAGCACTAACATATAACTCAAACATCTTTTAAATAAGCGAAATAATGAAACTTATATAGAAAAGTACGTCACACAACATTTGAACATTTGCAGGCACTATATTTAATACATACACATATAAGACAAAATACACGAACACATGCGTAAGCCGCACTGACGTTTAATTCATATACACCCATTCATTTTTCCCAAGATCTTCTATCAAAGGGGTATTTACGGTCATATAGAACACTTTGAACTTTCATAAGTACAAAATACGGTAAATATTCGCTTAAACGGTACTTAATTTTAAGAAAAGGATGAAGGTAGATTCTTGGTGACTATCGTTGGTAAGTACCGAGGTAGGAATTGCAGTTGGGACAATAGTGGTCGGCGTTCTGACATGAGTCCACACAGTAGGGGACGCATACACAAGGCCAGCAACTGTAACAAACAAACACAAATTGTTATTAATTATTTTATCTGTCTATAGTCCTTAAGATTATTTTCTTTTTATGTTTCTCTGTTTATTAGCGTTACATTGTTCTCACATAATCAAACCAACTAAATTATGTATCAAAGAATCTTTATGTGACACTGATTTAAAAAGATTTTCTTGCTCGTTCTTCTCCATCGGAATCTACACTTTGGAACGAGCAAATTAGCTTCACTAAGAGGACTGACCGACAGACTGACACATTTTTAAAATTTTGTTTGACGTTCAAAAGTGCCTGTATGGGTCTAATTGAAATAAATGATTTTGACTTTGACTTAAAACATTATGAAGATAATATTTCATGGTCTCCTATTAGTACATACCAAGTCTTTATAATAAACTAGATACTCTCGCACGGTTTCATCTGCAGCTCGGTTCCTACAGATCGTCGTGCGATGTTCCCTACCTTTATAAATGGACTTTTAAACACAGTAAGAATTGTCAAATTCGAACCAGTAGTTTTGGAGGTTAGTGCGTTCAAACAAATAAACAAACTCTACAGCTTTATAATATTAGTATACATATAAACGTAACCATATGTTTAGTGATAACATTAATCATTTGTTATCAATCTACACCTGACTATTCTGTATCAATAAAATATTTATATAGGCCATAAAACCGAGTTCCTTGTTTATACAAAATACAGTTCAAACTTCAAATTGATGTAAAGAAATTGTATATTCTGTACGATGACGTCAGAAAAGTTGTTTTGTTAGACTCTACTTCCAACGATGTCTTAGGGACCGACTAAAGAACTCCATTTTTTATGGTAGGCAAACGAGCAGACGGATTACCTGGTGGTAAGCAATCAGCGCCTCACATGGACACCCGCAATGTCAAAGGAGTAACACGTGCGTCGCCGGCTTTTTAGGGATTCGGATATTTTAAGATTGGGAAGGAATGGGGGCTGGGGCTGAGATTGGACCTCCGGTAACCTCACTCACACGGCGAAACACAACGCTGTGGTTTTCACTCCGGTTGAGCCGACCCATTCGTGCCGAACCATGGCACACTTATAAGATCCTGATTAAACTATTTAATTGTGATTTATGTTGAGGAGGTGGATTATATGATGATAAACTATCGGCGCCGCTCATGGACGTCCGGAACAAAAGAGGAGTTAGGCCAAGGTGACCAAGGGTCTAGATAAATATATAATATAAAACACTGTCAGTTTTATATAAATATACATAGGTTCAGATACTCAAGCCTAATGATAACACAATTATCGCTCGACCTTGGCCACGACCGGATTCATAGCGTCCTATTAGTATTTCCGTTCAAATTGAGCAATTTAAATTGAATTAAAAATTATTACTGTATATTGTGACAATAGGCTCACCCTCTAATAAAAGTTGTTTGTTTAACTGCTAAGGGATTTTATGTCATACTAGCTATTCTCGCGCGGTTTCACCCGCTGCTCAACTCCATTTGATCGTAGCGTGATGTTTTATAACCTATAGCACTCAGAAACATTGTAGCTATCTATCAGTGAAAGAATTTTAGCAATCCGACCAGCGGTTCCAAAGATTACCCCCTACATACAAACTTACAAATTTTACCTCTTTATAATATTAGTATAGATGCACTTTCTGATGATTTATAATTGTATCTGTGGTGGTTTCTCTTATCTTCGGACGGCACGTTAGGCGTGGTGGCTGACTGCCCCGCAGCGTGTCGCGGGTTGTATCCCCGCACGGCTCAACTCTTTGTGTGATCCACAAATTGTTGTTCCGGGTCTAGGTGTTTTGTGTTTGTGAAATTCTGACACATGAAAAAATCCTAGTGTAGGCCAACGTATTTAAAAAAAACTATCTGTCATCATTTTTAACAGCTACTTAAGCTCAGTTTCACTGCCACGTGACATATTATAAAACCTATTTCATTCCTCAATAAATAGACTTCCCAATACAAAAAGGACTTTCGAATTTAAACCAATAGATCCGATTATCGTTGAAACAAAAAATATTTTCAGATTTATAACATTATAAGTATACAAGTAATAGGTATAAATTTAATTATAACAGAGATGCTTCAACGGCAAAACGAACAGACGGATGTCAAGCAATCAGCGCCGCTCACGGTCACCCACAACACCAGAGGAGTTAGGAGTAAATTGCCGGCCATTCGGGGATTAGGCTTAGATTATTTAAGAATTGGAAAGAAATAAGCGGGGTCAGGTTTGGACCTCACTCACTCGGCGCAACATATTGTAAGTATTTTTTTTTTATATTTTGTGAGGCCATGGTATCATACCTGTCAAACTGGCCCATTCGCATCGAAGCATGGCTTTCCCACATTTAAGTATACATAACAACACGTGCGTCACATTAGAAAGTCATGCCTAACGATGACCTTGTACATTAGCTCACATTTTCACCACGCTACATAGTTGAGCCATTATAGGCCGCAGTTACGCGAAGACGTGATATTTTAGGTTTGCAATAACATAAACATATTATGTAGAAAACTTAGTAATGTCGGAGCCAATTAGATTAATTCACCATTCAACTAAAGGCCTGAAAAGTATAGACGTTTGATAGTATGGCTGAAATTCTCATTAAATTGCAACTGGCACAGAAATCTAAAAGCCATCAGAAATTAAGAGCTGTCTGAATTGATAAGATGTCAGTTGTTAAACACGCAAGGTCGGCTAAAAAAACTTACTAAGCTCCATCAACAATTAAAGTTTCAAACATTTTAGGTAATACAATACTTTACAGTTGCTGTCACACAGGTTTTGTTTGGGATATGCACAAACTTGCTCCAACTCCACTTGTAAGAAGATTTCTGTATCTATAAGAAAGTGTATACCTACTATAAGATAACCGAAAACAAGCGAAAGTTAACATGACCTTCATAGTTCATACAAATCCAGTAACATAGATCAACATCATGCGTATTCCCGACGAAATAACTACAGGTATATCCAATTACTCGTCTCTTACAATATTGTGAATAAATCATTATTGTTATTACTTAGATATAACTGTTTTCTCACTAATTATTTGTTAAACAACTCTAAAATAAAAACAAGAACTAATCAAATTAACATAAATAGAACAACAGTATTTATCATAGTAAAGTATTAACTAAATAAAATAAAAAATAAAATTTGATATGGGCCACCATTTAGAATTTTCGAATTATGCTACATGAATGTAAATGTAGTTATACAATTATCTTACTAATAATATAATAAATACCAAAGTCTGTAAGTATAGACCGTTGAATGTTTCTCTTTCACTTGAAAACTACTGGACGGATTTGAATGAAATTTGGCAGAGAGTTTTATTAAAGTCCAACCTCGTAAGTCTCTATAAAGTAACTCATAGGCTATATAGTTTCTGCCATAGGTTCTGGGCCTAGGCGAAGCCACTGGTAGAAACAACCTTCTAATATAAATAAGACCTAAAAGTCCTGTTGAATTTCATGCAATGAAAATGAAAATATATAAGGACTCTATTTATCTGATATGTCGGTATTAAAATAACTATGTATTGTTTTATAGTTGTCATGTCAACGATCTGATATGGTTAAGTACTTATGTGTTGTCGATTTTAAACGAAGGTCGGTAGACATTGACACGTCAATGGTTTCGTATCATAGTCACGAATGTTAAAACTGGTTCGTATTCATATATATAATAGGTACATATAAGATATTTTAATACCAAGAATATATTTTGATAATTACTTTTTCAGTGAAATATTTTTAAATAGTAAAGCCTACTTGTGATCATTTGATTATAGAATTATTTTTGGTAAATATTTTCCTAGAAATTTTATGGAAATGAATAACAATTACATCACTAACCTTGGGTTTTGTTCGTACAATTTTTTATTCGTTGCAAAGAGTTTTATACGTTTAGAAGAAATAATCACAGTTTAAATAAAGTGTTCAGGGAAGTAGGTACAGATTGCGTATAGCTTAATTCCTAAGTTTTCTATAAAACAACACTAGGCAGATTTGTTTCGTTCCAACCGAGCAGTTATCTGCTCAAATGAAATAATATTTAAATTTATAAATGGTAGCCCATATCTTATTTTATTTTATTTAGTTAATACATTACTATGATTAATACTGTTGTCTTACCTATGTTAATTTAATTAGTTCTAGTTTTAATTTCTTTATATTTTGTCTGTATAAACGCATAATTTTTAGAATGTTGGTTAGCTCATAACTGGCTTATGTATATGACCTACTGCCTATAACCAATACTTTAAACCACTTTGTATACATAAGCTGTGAGCCTACCTTATGTAATAAATAAATAAATGAAAAAAAAATATATGTAATACACAATAGCAGATTTTATATCATTGAAAATGTAAAGCAATGTACGTCTCAAGGTTAGGTCAAGTTCAATAGACTGTTGCTAATTGCTAATGTCTCGTTAGTCACGTGATTGGCAGATTGTTCTACCTCACTAGTTGGCGCTAGTGGGCATTTTGGTCTTTTTAGAGTTAATTTTTAAATAAGATTATTGGTTTGTTTTCTTTGCTGCTTTCAAAATAATGTACCTACAGAAAAAGATATTTCCCAATGACATATTTATGAATACACGTCAATAAATAAGTTAAATATGTTTTTACCACTGTTTTAGCTTGTAGGTGTCCGTCATCGCGACATAAAATATGTGACAATATTTTATACATTTGTAACCCACACAAAACAACAAATATGGAATGTTCTAATTGTTTAACAGCCAATGATGTAACCGTTAAAAATAGCTGCAATTCACATACACATAGATTAAAAGCCAGACTTTGGCGTAATCACCAAACTGGTGTGTTACTTGCATGTACCTAATGTTCCCAGTAAAAATAAAATTTAGTGAAAATGTAATTGAGTAAAGAATATATGGAATGTTAATATTTTTAGTGATTAAACTGGTCCAACAGTCTCTGGGTTTTAAATAGCATTGGTGATTTTTAAACAAACACTTTAGGCTTTCTAGGTACCTATCCGTTCCGTTCCCGCAATCTGAACGTTGCAACTACAAATCTCCCGCATTAAATTCCAAAAAATCTTTTTTTTTTAACTAACTCAATATATTTTGTTTTATATTTCACTTTTCGAGACCACCAGGCAATAAAAGGTATCAAACTTTATACATATTAACAGCTAAGCAAATTTCTTAACGTTATAAGAAAATAAACCAAGCTATGTGCAATATAGGAGTCAAATTTCAGTGGTCAGTGGTGTGTTATGCAGCTCACATGCCAAGATATTTCCGTCATATTATGGGTTTCATTTTCTTTTAACCAATTCTGATGTAATACTTAATCATACAAACTGATAAGTGGATATATTATTAAAAAGAACAAATATGGCAAAAAGGTATTTTCTCCTATCCAACATATTTTTTTCTTTCTAGTTATATAAAATTGTCCGATAATAAAACAGTAAAAAAGTATGTCATTTGTTTTGAAAATCGAACTAAACAAACTAATAAACTAAAAGTCTCATCAATCACTATATAAAATTAAACTTATCTTCGATCGAACTCTTTTATACTTAGGGAAGGTTCACTTGGGTAAAACCACATCTTAATAGTAAAAATAAATACTGCATTTTACATAACATAACATTCTCAGAATGTAATACCATGTAATACAAAACAAGATTTCTATTCTTTGTTTTGGCGTGTAAACTTAGCGTCGCAGTAAATATTGTTATCACACAAAAATGTTTGGATTGAGATAACAAATTAAGTACAAGATAAAGTAAGCTTTAGGTATATCGAGAACATAACAACTAGATGCTGCTGTATTAATTGTAATCTTATATATAAAAATGGATCGCAAAATGTGTTGTAAGCGCATAACTCAACAACGCCTGGACCAATTTTGCTAATTCTTTTTTTGTTGTATTTGTTATTGTCAGGAGAAGGTTCTTATCAAAGAAAATATTAGAAAAGTAGAGAGGAAGATTAGGAAAAAGTGACCCTTTGATAGCGAGATAGTTGGACCCGTGCGAAGCGGGGGCGGGCCGCTAGTTTTACATAATAATTATTATTACAACACATTACTGCATAACTAAAACTGTATTTATATATATATGCACTACCGTTTCATTTTCGGTACCTAATTTATTTTTCTTATGATTATAAAAGTCAAATACTTTTTTATTTTACTTTGTTTATCAAAGTCAAAATCATTAGGCACTTTTGAACGTCAAACAAAGATTTAAAGATCTGTCAGTCAATCCTCTTGGTAAAACTATTTGCTCGTTCCAAACTAAAGATTCCGATGGAGAAGAATGAGGAAGAACTTCCACAGTTACTCTATTTCAATCAATTTCACAATCAGATTATTTGTTCATTTTCATTTTTCATCATCAGCCTATAACTGCCCACTGCTGAAGCAAAGGCCTCTTCTCACCCGGAGAAGGTTAGAGCATCAATCACCCCGCTTGCCCAATGCGGGATGGCGATTTCAAACTTATAATTAGAGATTATAAGTCCAAGTTTCCTCTCGATGTTTGCCTTCACCGTATGTCAATGATGTCTAAATAATCATAGAAAGTACTTATAACTCGGAAAAACTCACATCGGTACTTGCCAGGTTTCGAACCCACATCCTCATGCATGAGAAGCGGGCTCCTTAACCTCCGGGCCACCACGACATTTTTGATTATTTAAGCCAATTTACAAACAGGTCTACTAATTTCAAGCTAAAACGGGGCTCTAATTCAAGATCAGTGTGAACGGCGCGGCATGGCGATATTTCTCAGGTAAGTGTGTAACTTTACGTGAGTGACCTGTTATTTCTAATTCCATACTACATACATACGACTTAATAATCTGAATCTAAAATTGAAATGGATTTTAATGGCCTAGCAATTGAAAACAAGACTTTATTAGTATTGACATTAATACCACATTCATCAACAAGGCAATGTTGATACGCGAATGGTATCATGTAAACAGTTATTAGAGTAAAACTATTATTGTTATTCTATTACTCTACGAATGAATAGTAGGTACTGGATTTTTCCTTCCTTGAAAGTATATAATTATATATATAAAAAAGGCTTACTAGAATTTTAAATTCATACGTATTATTATTTCAAACAACTTCTATTTTAAGAACAAAATAAAAGTTGACAATTCATGTAATCTATACTAATATTATAGAAAGGTAAAATTTTTAAGTTTGTATGTTTGTAAGTTTGTATGTAGGGGGTAATCTTTGGAACCGCTGATTGGATTTCAAACATTCTTTTACTGATAGATAGCTACAATATTCCTGAGTGCTATAGGCTATAAAACATCACACTACGATTAAATGGAGCCGAGCAGCGAGTGACACGGCGAGAGTAGCTAGTAATAAATAAATTATATTTATTGTACAACAAATGAGATTGTGACATGGCTATATACAAAAAAAATAGTATATATATATATATATATATATATATATCTATATATATATATATATATATATGTACCTATGTACCTATGTAAAGTAATGTATTGTCAACGACTAAATACATTCATATAAATAATAAATACTTACAGGAACAGACACAGAAGAAGCGCTATGACGTGAGTCTTCGTCGTGGATTTCCTCTCGACCCTCGTGACGATCGTGGCTCGGCACGATGGGCATGTGATCTGGGAGGGTTCAGGTCCAACTTGTACGATGTTCATTTTGATATTCTGTAAAGAAAGAAAAAAGATATCTTTTATTATCGTCATCCTAATTAGTGTCAATCCTCCCCCTCCCCCATCCCCTATTCTTTAATCGCTATTAACTTTCAAGAGATTACTATGACATTAAAAATAGGATAATTTCGTAGTTCCCTAATAGCGTTTTGCGCGCCTCAAAGGGTCAATTGACCACCACTAACAGAGCCGAACGGGGCCGATGTTCAGGCGGGGTGGCGGCGCGCAATAACGTACCGTGGCCACAGCCTTAGTCAGTAAGAGTCTGACACTCTTCGCTCTCGGCGAGAAAAGTCAGTTGATGATTTTCCCCTCACTAAAAAACCCAATACGGGAAAGCCGGTATGTCACGTTTTATAAAAGTTCAATTGAGGCCAAGTCTAATCCAATATAATCCAATTTAGCGTTCATGTCCATATCATACTTGTAACGTCATCTTTATTAATAGTGCGAGTATAATTTGGTGATTAGATAAATTGGTTTATAGTATCTTTTGGTTAATATTAATGTGCATTTTTCATTTCATTTATTAAGAGCTAGCTGACCTAGCAAACTCCGTAACGCCTCAATTAACAATTATTTAAAAGTTTTATAATGACCTTGTAGCTAATGACACCACTAGACTAGTTAACAAAAAAATCGTTGCTGTATTTTATTACTATATAGGTACAGGGTGATAAGTCTATTTGTTATTCCAGATTACAATCTACTTCTATGGCTAAATTCATTCAGAACCGAATATTTTTTTTTTTTTACTTGAAAGAGTAACAAGAGAAGCCGAAGTGTGGAAGAGCCTTGCTAGCCGCCTAGCTAGCCTAGCCGTGTTTCGCCGTGTGAGTGAGGTTACCGGAGGCCCAATCCTTCCCCTCCCCTAAATCTCTAAAACCCTAATTCCTATAACGGTCGGCAACGCACTTCTCGTAACTCCTCTGTTGCGGGTCACTCCATCAGGTAATCCGTCTGCTCGTTTGCCAAACTTTACATAATATTACATAAAAAAACAATCACCAATTCAAACATCCATCATCCGTAATCCAGTTTCCACATATAGCTGAGAACGATGAGCAAATTAATTGTTTAAAAAGAATGTTTGGGGCGTATTTTATCTGCAATTACTAATCAGTTTTATTGTACTTATTGTACGCTTATCACAATGCTTGTTTTATTATAAACATGGAATATAGTATATATGAAAAGTCACATTGGAATATTCATATGCATGATAGCGTTTGCAAATTGTAGTTATAAGACTGACTATTTCACCACATTCATGCAAGTCTCCTATAAACGTATATGAACTACACAACAACTACTATAGACGTATTCCATTTTCAAAATTCGAAATTACGTTCCATTTTCAAATTTATTAAATATATTTTAGCTATCTAAGAGTTTCGAACTAGACCCTATTGGGTTGGTTCATGGCTGGACCACAGGGGTGCTATGTTGCAATCTGCCTCCGTATAAGAGGAGGATTTTCTTGCTTGTTCTTTTCCAATCGGAACTACACTTTGAAACGACCACCTAGCTTCACTGACGACCAGACTGACAAACTATTATTCTATTTTGACATTGCAAAGGAACCTGTTTATGATTTAGTTGGAATACATGATTTTGACTTTAACTTTCTCAGAAATGGGATGATTTTAAACCGATGATGAAAGATGGTACCAAATAGTTTCTGAAATTAGCACTCTATTACACAAACACTTGATTAAACTCGTCTTTTACAATAAGCAGACGTACACAAAACTCGACAATGACAGTATTATACATATGGTAGCTATAATACTTTACAAAACTCGAAAATGACATTACTGTTATATGGCAAGCTATTTAATTGTACATATAAATATTATTTGCAATAATTCTATGAAACTATTTAGTTTGTCTACTGCACCAATTATCTGTATGTACCAAGGTGACATTCGTTAATTGTTTTTAATGTTTTTAATTTAACTAATTACCGCTCGTGTTAGTTGAGATTTTACATTCTAAATTAAAACTTCTGTAAGACAATTCCTAGTCATTTTTTATGTATAAAACAAATAATGGTTCTAAATATAAATTTCTTATTGTGTTTTATTTACTCTTCCTTAACTCATTTGTATTTAACTAAACTTAATTTAAAACTCTGCCAACTGGTACAGCAATGTTTGCCCATGCGCGCCACTAGCTTACCATCAGCTCTTTAAGGTATTTTGTTTTGATGTGATAGGACGGCAAACGATGAGATGGATCTGCTGATGATAAGCTGTCGTTACCGTCCATGGACACACGAAACATGAGAGCAGGTGCTAGCCTATCTAGGGTTAACGATAATGATCGTGGATAGGGATTGGGGATGACCGGTTGAAGTTAGTTTTAAGCTAATTTAATCGGGTTTGTGGGTTAAAACGCAATAATGTACTATGGCTCCAAAGCAAAAGAAGAAACGGGTTTGGCTTTAAGACAGTAAGAGTCTCGTGCCACCTAAGGCGGAAGGAGTAATTTGATTATTTTCCCCCTCCCCCCCCCCCCCTCACAAAAAACACTTAACATTTTTATCATCTGAATACATAATTTCCGTATGAGTCAAAACGGAAGTGTCATACAATACTTAGATAACTTATCGTGATTTACTAGAAAACACCGGAGATTGCGTCATATTGTAACGTTTATAATAATTCTTACTATATAGGTAGTTAATAAGTAACACATTTATTTTGAAAAAGTAATTAGAAAAAGAATCATTATTCTTGTAACTACTTAAATCGATTGCCAGTTCAAATAATCCTTTCAAATAAACCAACTTTTATATACAATGAATTTAATTCTTTTTGGTCTTCAAATGAAGCTAGTTTGGACTTCTGGCCCTTTCGTCCAATGCGATAATAGCTTTACCCATTGAGCATTAAATTTTTGACAGCTATTGTGATTGATAACGCTGACGTCTTACTTAATTAGCGCCATCTAGGGTTAAGAAACGGTAGTCTCAATTGAATTAATAATAAAATTTAGCCTCCTTATAAATATAATACAGGGACATTACAAATTTATCAAATCCTTCAGGTCACCCTCAGTGTAATCATCAGCGAATGTGACATGCTATCCATCCGACGCGACGAGCAATCAAATTGTGAGTAAGCCACGGACTGATAAACGTATTAGTCATACTTGTTTTATTCATTTGCATATCACTTCTACAAAAACATAAAAACCTAATATCTTCATCTGTTGATAAGCAATCCTTGCCGTCCATGTTAACCCGCAATACCAGATGAGTTATAAGTGCGCTTTAGTTCTTTTGAATTAGGGTTTCGGAGGTTTTAAGACTGAGGAGGTAGGTATTGGTAGAAAATGCAAACTTTATTTATTTGTGATATTTTTTTAAATTTAATTGCATTGGAAAATGTCGCATTTTACTGAATTATAACTGGATATTTATTTATAATAACACAAAAACTTTGAATTTTATATTTCACGTAATTAAAGCAAACATTTTATTTCCGCTTCGATTTTTACCATACGGAAAACCCGTATTGACGCGACTAAACAAATAGTTTTTCACAGACCTTGAATGTAATTGTGCAAAAAACTGGTCAATTGTATAAAAAAAAAATTGTACATTTCAGAGTTTACTTCTGTCATTAATGTTACACCCTCTTTTCCTTTGACATACCGTTAGACCCATGGTTAGACCTGACTAAAAGACTGCACAACAGGCTGAGTACCGGACAACATTTATTTTCCATTGATAAACCTAAACATTTTAAAACGTAATCTTCAGGTATAGAGGACCCTTAAATCTCGAAAAACTTATATCCCTTGTAGGAATGTCAAAAATCAATCTACTTATGTTTCTCACATATGAGAAGTTTTTCAACAAAAACACATTGAAATCATTACATGAAAAACTCAATTTTTAAAGTTTTATTTGTTAAGGATCGGCTTTGTTACACCTACAAAAATAAAAAAGTAATTCATAGAACTACACTAGTTAGTTCATATTTATATTCAAATATAAATTTATCTGGTACATAGGTTTTTACTAGGATTTCGCCTTTGTCGTGGGTGCGTTTACAAACATACAAATTAACATACACAAGCCACCCAGACCCAAAACAAAAATTTGTTGATCACACATAACAATATATCTGGTACCTAGTGAAATAGCCTTTAGAATTTCAAAAACTTATAGTCTTCTATTCGTAATATAAATCAAATTAATAAGAAGGCGTACTTGTAACACATTCTAATGGTTTTTTTTTGTGAGGGGAAAATCATCAAATGACTTCTCCCGCACAGGGCCGGGCAGGAGGGAGTGTCAGACTCTTACTGGCTAAAAACCCCCCTGTTCCTTCTCCTGCTCTGTGCCGAGGTCGCGGTGCCTCATTGCGCTTACCCCGCAACCCCGGCACATTCTTATGGTACTTTTAAGGCTTGTTCATAGATAAGTACATACTACGATGACGTCATTGTAGGGAGGAAATTGTAACATGACGTCATTCAATCTAACCTAAGTGGGACTAGTCACCGTTGTTTTTCCATTTATGTATATGTATGGTTTAATTGTAACCTTAATTGTGTTGGATGCCACACGTAATCCAGGATGTTGCAGACATTTTTTTTTTCTTGTGCGATCCACAAATTATTGTTCTGGGTCTAGGTGCTATGTGTATGTGAACTTGCATGTTTCTAAACGCACACGCAATACAGGAGATAATATTAGTGAAAAACGTTTTTTCAAAAAATAATATTATTATATATCAATTTTTTTTTATTCTCATATTAAAAATAAATAAAAACAAAACAACGTTCAACAACCTTTAAAGGTAAACTATTGAAGGTAAATAATAAAAAATTCCTCCGTTCGGCAAAGTCACTGGTCAGCCAATAGACCACTACAGATGGGCTCAACAGGGCTGATGAACAGGGGTTGCTGGTCAAGCGCAATACTCGTAAGGTACCCCAGCCTAGAGAGCAGGAGAAGGAACGGGGGTTTTTAGTCAGTAAGATCCTAGCTCGCCATACCCTAGACAAGAAAAGCCATTTGATGATTTTCCACTCCTCAAAAAATGATCACCTGTTACCTACGTAGCGGTTAATGTGTTAAATAATTACTATTGGTACTAATTGGACGTACAAAATACTATTTTCCTCTTCACGTCCGGTCCTATTAAAATACTATGAAGTGATACGATAATATATAAGTGTACTAAAAACTTATTGACAACAAAATATAAAAATAATATAAATAAATATATTATGTTGTTGACAACACAAACATTATTTACCGTCAAGACGCCAGAGCTACCAACTTTCTTGCCAACGATGGCTATTAAATAAGTACCGCGTTTTGTTTTATATTCTCAACTCTACCGTTTTCACATAAAGTCGAAAGTCGAGTGACATAATTGACAGAATGGTTTAGGTTAACCTGTTGGCGTCTAATACAACCTGTATATGCCATTGACCTCACGAAGGTCTCAAGGCAATGGTTAAAAACCCATTAGTAACGATGTTTGAAAGAATGGTAATACATTAACAAATGCTTAGAAAATTATAACATAAGGTGTATAAAGTCAAAAGCCAAATAAAGGGTTTTAATAAAAATTCCTTGAAATTTTGTTAAAAATAATTAAAACTGTAAGCGAATTTGGTAAGCAATTGGTGCCGGTAGACTTCTTCTTACCGGACACAACTCCCGAGGAGTAACGAGTGCGTTACCGGCCTTTTAGGGATTAGAGTTTCCGAGATTTAGGGCGAGGGTAGGGGAGGAGTGGAAGATTGCGCCTCCGGTAACGTCACTCAGATGGCAAAACACTACGCGGTAGTTGTTCCACGCCGATTTTGTTACATTATTATGCCGTGGTACTCAGGTGGATCCGGCCTATTCGTTCCAAAGCATGGCTCACCCACATTTTCAAACAAGGACACGCCCATTCTTCGGGTAGTTGTGACCAATACCTCAAAACTAAGTTTCCTCTAGCAAGACAACTAGTTTAATAGCCATGATCAGTAAAAAAAACAACCACACAATAATAATATGAGCGATAAAATACATAACACTTGACTTCCAAATTCCTGGTATTCATACCAACACATCATGTTGCTCAAAATAGCACGCATTTACCGTCAAATAATAATGATAATAAATATCATTCCAACATAAAAATGAAGATAATTATACATATTTTGATACTACACCTATATAGATAGATATAGGTGTATATCAGCGTCACGATTACACTGGAAGGTAAAAGAGTCTGGTTTTCGCTTGGTATTTTCATCGCTAATCGAACTTTGGCCTGCTAATGTTATATACAAAACTTATAGCTATAGCAGATGTGTCTATGCCCTATAGAAACAACGATATCGCATCAGTGATTGTCCAACAAAAGTTTTTTTTTTCTATTTGTAATGACGGCACACGTGACCTTGAGATTCTATGAGTCCCAGTTAGTAACATGTTGTTGGTTGGTACTTTAATTATTTTAATTTTAATCACTTAGCGGCACTCCTGTGTAACTAACAAATTACCTTAATTTTAAACACACTACAATCTTACATAAGTCAACAATTCTAATAGAACATTCACTAGAAACCATCATAATGTAATCGTCTACAAAAAATACTTAACAGACGAACGCTAGATGCAATAGCCTCGAACATTTCCGTAAATAACGCCCGGTAAGAGGTTATTTTTATAAAAAAAAAGAATAAAATTGTGAATAAATAAAAAAATATATAAATTATTCAACAGTTGGTAGGTATGAGAATGTAGGTAATACAAACATTACACTTACCTATAAAAGCAAGAACACAACAAAAATTACACTTGTTTAATAACAAAATGGTGCGGGTAGCCTCTGGCAATATCAACACGCAACTGACTGCTTAGTAGCTCAACACACTATAGTCGGCTGAGCACGATTCATTTCATTAGTACTTACAACCAAAGTGAGTCATCGGTTACAATCGGCACACACTAGGCGAAATTATCGCCCACGCTCGAATCTTTTTATCAAATTGAAATCTTTATGAATTTTTAAATACGTAAACGAGAAAACTATGTATTTCATTGCCAAAATAAATTGCTTTCTCGTGTAGTGTGTACAACACAATGGGTAAATATAAACAACCTACTTGTTGCTTTTTGTTTTGTACTCCGTCGTAGTATTGCTCCAAACTATCGCAAAGGCGTCTGTTATTAGGGCTATTGGTTGCTTTTTCTTTTTATAGTTCCTGTAGTTTGGTACAAATGTATTGTTATAAATACACGTACACTT